TGTGTGTGTGTGTGTGTGTGTGTGTGTGTGTGTGGGTGTGTGTCCACCCGGCCCACCTCTCTCTCCGACCTCTCTGCTCACACACTCCACCACCCTCTTGATGCTCTCACTGTCTGTAACGTCCAGCAGGAGGGTCTTCAGTCTGGAGGAGGCCGCCGCCGCCAAATCTGCTGCACCTTTCTCTGTGAGACAAGCTGCTATCACATGGAAACCTTTTCTGTCCAGCTGTCTGGCCAGCAGATTCCCAAAGCCGCTGTCACAGCCTGTAATCAACACGTGCTTCTGGCTGAAGCCCCCGACCCTCTGGGAGTCTCTGATGTACCAGCGAATGGCAGCGAGAGCGACCAGAAGCAAAGCAGAGGTTAAGACCAGATGTTGCAGGATTACCTAAAACACACAACTCACTTTGAATTCACACTCTGACTCCTGTAAAATAATGTTTATGCAAATGTTGCAAACTGAAAGAGAAATTGACTCACCTCTAATAAATATGTTGTTAAACTGTCAGTGGACACCTGAATGGAGAAGAATGGGGGTATAAAGCGTAACATTCATGCTCCTGCGCCCAAAAACATTGAAGATGAACATATAAAGTGCATCTACTTTCCAACAACATGATATAAATCAAATATTATTAACTAATAACCTTCACTTCTGCATTAGCCACACCCTTAGCCACACCCTCCTCATTAACATTGATCCTTATTAGGAATGAGGAGCAGGGATCTGCAGCAATAAAACAAACCCATCCATCCATTATTTATAGGGCTTATCCTCTGAGGGTAGTGGGGCAGCATCCTGGTGACATTAGGCAAGAGGTGGGGTCCTCCCTGGACAGGTCACCAGTCCATCACAGGGCTGATATACAAACACAAACAAACACTTACACCTACGGACGATTTAGAGACTCCAATTAACCTAAAATGGTTGGACGGTGGGAGGAAGACAGAAACCTGGAGATAAAACCCACATAGCCGCAAGGAGAACAAATAAATTCCACACAGAAAGATCCTGGACAACCACAGGTTCAAACCCAGAATTAATATTATTATTAGTATTATTAATAATACTAATAATAATAATTTTGGTGCGATTTTGACACACAATATCAGTGAACTGTGAATAAACTGGTGAAGGGGGGGCTTCAGGTTTCTGCAAACTGAGACCTGTTTGCTGCAGCTCAGCTAAGAACAGTTTCAGAAAGAATGCAACAACCAGCATCACCACAGGCCAAACAAACAGCCCATTCCGGTTTAGAACAAACACTGCAATAGTCTAATACATTAAAGAATAATTATATACCACACATCAAGTTCATTTTTCAGTATTTAGATAATGGGATGAGTTTTAGTCCACTACTGCTTGACCTGAGATGATACCAGATTAAGATATTGTTGTTGTTTGTGGTGCTCAAATTATTAAAAAAACAACTCTTGATTATATTTTGTGTTTCTACAACACAAACCTCATCACATTTACCTGCACTGTGCTCCGTCTCCAGTGGAAATCCCACAACTCGGCAGGTGAACCTTTAATGCATTTTTTCCCCACTCAACCACCAGATGGCATCAATAAATACAAATAAATGGTTCTCAAAGCTTGTGCTCCTTATTTTGACTTGAATAATAAAACCAGTTTATATTCATATTCCAGATGTTTGAGTACTTCCAATGAGCCCCAAGCCACAGTTGACACAAATCTCATTTATAATTATAATAATAACAACAGCACACATACCATGGTTGCAGTTGCAGATCCAGGTGTGTCTTCCTGATCCAGAAAACTCAATACGGTGAAAATCTTGTCTCAGTCAACACTGGACCCTCCACGAGAAATTAAGTTTCTATGTGAACTGATTTCAGTGCGTCTGCACAGTCAAGGTCCATAAGTGAATGTAACAGTTTCACTAGCACACGATTGTGTAATAGACTACACCAGATTACATGACCCCTGGATTTGATGACTGCAGTCCCCTTTACCTCAGATACTCTCTGAAAACACTGCGACTCAGCCCAAAGGTTGCAGAGAAAATGTCGATTATCGTCTTTGATATTGAAAACAAACAATATGTTTACGATGGAAGGAGCAGGTTTACACAGGCGGAGTGGGGACAAAGTCCATCAAGACCAGGAGCCCACTGAGGTCAGCAGGAGGAAGCAGCTCAGTCAAATTTCATTTTCAGGTTTCAACTTCACTAAGTTTCAGACATGTCCCACTCCAGAGCCATCCAATGATATTGTTTCTAGTATAACTAATGAATAAGTACAGATTATTCTATTTAAAAAAAAACAAAAAAAACAAGCTTAGTTTCAAAATAAAAGCTTAAACATACTATAAACTACTATAAAGCCATGTGGAAAAGATTTGTGTTGCCCCCTATTGGCCAGTTTTAAGATCTCTTTACAAACTTGGTCCATATCTACCAAGGTGTTATGATGACAAATATTGATATGGTACAATTTGAACCAGGCACATTTTAAACTTCAGTAGATCGAAATGATTATTGAATATATTCTAAATTTTCAAATGACTAGACAAAGAATTCCAGATTATAATCTCATTTGTGTTATGCTACGATCATTGATTAACTTTGTGGCGCCCCTTATAGGTAAATTTGAAATAAATACACACTCAGTAAAAGTAATACATTCATACAAAATACAATATAAACACAAGGAACTATGAAAAAATACAAAGTCATATGTACAATGCACAGCAGAGAGAAATGTTCCAGTCATGGTGAAGCTTGATCCCAGTCTATAGCCCTGAACCCTCTTGTAAACGTGAGGAGGTTTTGCTTCTCATACCGACTTAAAGTATTTTTCTCGTTCATTCTGTCTCTGGCGGCCTTCATCCACTTGTTTATGGCCCAAGTGGAAAACTGTCTGAACACACGTAGTCTGTGTGTCGTCGTGTTGTTCTTAATTCAATATGCAAACAAGTTGGAGCAGCAAACACAAGCTCTCCCCACAAGGGCCTTTTCAGTTTAGTTTAGTTTATCTTAAGTTATTTTAACGCTAAATTAAAAATACTTTTGTTGAAATTCACACAGCAATAGAGCACATATAAATCTTGCAGATGAGGTGAACAGGCATGGTACTTGGTTAACAACTACAATTTAGGATTTAGATGGTGGTCAGAGGTGTGAAAGCTCATAAACACAAAGCAAACATTGTCCATTTCAAACATTTACCTTGTAGGAACAAGATGAAAGAAACCAGGTTCTGCAGCAGAGAGGACACAACCAGCAGCTCGTGTGAGTGTAAATCGTGTTTTGGCCGGGCAGAGACGTGATTGACAGGTGAGATCTGCAGCGTGAGCTCAATCAAAGGTTTGTGATTCACTGTGCATCTGTGTGATGATTTACATCATTGAAGCGAATGGGGCATGTTGATGCAAACATGGTGAGCTTCTCCAGAAAGTGACAGAGAAGCTGCTCATTACCTCTGCCATGGAGGTTATGATTTCACCCGTCTGTTTGTTTGTGGGTTTGTATGTGAATACGATTAAACAAAAATTACAGGACAGAATAACATGAAATGTGGTGAGGGTCAGGGAAGGAATAATTACAGTTTGGTGTGGATTCAGATTAGATTGTGTATCCAGAAAACAGTTTTTTGGGGGGAGGGATGTTGTCACCAATTTCTCTGGGAACAATTCAATAACTCATATATATTTGATATTTAAAAGATATAAAGAAGATATGAATAGTTATCTATGAGTGTGTGCAATTGGTTGCAGCTTGATTGAATTTAAGTGGACTATATTTGGTATGTGCTCTACTGAATGACAAGAAACTGTTTTTCAGGGCGCAGAACAACTTGGTTTCCAAAGTCCTTCAAGACGTTATGGAGATTTCCCATTCAAATCAAACTGTGGTGGATGATTGGTCCCAACCTGTCGTCCGTAGTCATTAAAAAAATGTTTTATGAAACTTTTATAACTTACACATTTTAATGAACAAATATGATTAAGGCCAATGGTTGTTAGGGGAATGACTCCGGGAAGATTGCAAAGCTTTCAACAGATACTGACATTGCACCTTTGGGATAATATTTCAGTTTAGACAGTTTCTAATTTTTTAGGAAAATTGAGGTTTATTCATAATCTGTGTTAATGTGCATGACCTGCCATTGTGAGAAATTTGACATTGTCCAGTGCCTCATGGTTGACAAATAAATACAATGATCTTTGAAAAGAAAAATGATCCCTTTTCTACCATGACTTACCAACTACCCAACTTTAACTGACTGATACTCATTGCTCTGAAACGTGTTGCAAACACATACCAAACCATAGAGACAAACTGCTGTTGGCTTTATTGTGAGTAATTGCATTGCATTTGTGCATTCACATATTTGCACACCTCTACAGCTGTTTAGTCAGTTAAGTTTTAGAAAATATGTGGCTTTCTAAAGGTGGAAATGTAAACAAATTCATTATCTTAACTTTTTTTTTTGTTTTGGGGGGTTAATGCCCGCTAGGACAGGTAATAATGTCTGGGTTCGGAATTTGCTCCTTCTTTACAGCCATGTTATTATCACATCACAGGTGATTGATAATGCAACAGAAAGGAGGGGTCTCGAGTCAGAAACACACCGTGATAAAAGGTGACTTCTCTGTGAGGTTCACTCTCAAGGGGCTGAGAGTCACCTGACACCATTCTTATAGTTGTTATTTAAAGAAAGACCAATGTAACTGATGTCACCCACCCTGAGGCAAGACGGCTGTTGTTTGGTTGGATGTTTCATCTCTGGGTTCAAAAGTAAAACAAATTTTTAATCTCATAAAAGACAAATATTCACAGTATACTGTCACACCAAATACTTTGGTTGTTATTTTACCCTAATTT